TGGGAGTTAATCAGACTTCAGAATTTCATGAGATTACTACTACTACTACTACTAATAATAATAATAATTTTTATTTATACCCCGCCCTCCCCAGCCAAGGCCGGGCTCAGGGCGGCTAACAAGCAATAATAAAAACAAATAGAAGGAACCAGGAACATCAGGTTACTGTCTTCTACAACAGTGCGATTTAACCATTGATGCTAACTAGAATATAACACACAATGCTATTTTTTAATATATAAAAAATCCTTTGTTCTTGAGCTTGGTGAGATCTGTGTGGATTTTCACAGCAGAAGACTCAGATTTAACTTTTGGTGCAGTAGGTTCTGAACTTCTTTGGAAGTTTATTGAGACATTTATCAGTGATAATTCAGGACTTCCTGAGATAGAAATGCTGTAGATATCTAAAGCCACTTCAGCATCCTGTTAATGCATGTTCAGAAGTCTTCATATTGAATACCATAATAATCCATTCAAGAACTTCTGTATATAACATGGTGGAAGTCCTTTCAAATATCCCTCTGTTCTAAGTTATGATCACTTATCTTCTGTTGTAAATTAAGAAAAGCACTTTGTCCCCCATATTTTGTTTTAAATAGTTTACCGTGTGGATCAATTTAAATAATGCGGTTTTAAAAATTCATATATTTTCTGTGCAAGAGCTACTGCAAGTTACAACGTATTGGATTGCAACTAAATAAAGCTTGTGTAATAACCTTGCAGCATAATATAAAATAATTGGTAATGCAGACCCACGTGCCATTTGCACCACACAATTATATCTGCCTTGCACACTGAGCAAAATCATATACTTGGAGACAAGGCCACAATCCATTGTAGAGTTGGCTCAGCAGAGCTTGTAGCTCAGCATCTAGAACTTTCAGAGGCCAGGCTTCCAATTAGTGGGCAAAACAGTGTTTTTTCTATGAGATAAAAAGTAAATGTCCTTGCCGTTTGGTTGATAGTCATAAATATTTATGATTGTAGGAAAGTATGAACACAGTGCATGATTTATTGTATCATGTTCTTAATGCTCGACTATTGAAGTCAAAACATTTTCCCTATTTTTTCTTTTATGTAAAAAAAAACACCAGGATTTAGTGTAGTATGTTTGAAAACAGGTCTGACCTGAGATTTGAAAAAGAATCAAGTTATGAATGTTTGTATTCAACACAATTTAATAAATATTATGTAATGTAACTATTTTTTTATCCACCCCAATAATCTCTTATTGATAACAAACTAAGCAGGAAGCAGAAAACTGCTCCATCTTACTGCCAAGAGACAGTGAGATGGAAATTATGAGAATACTGAGAAAAATGTGAAATAAATTAAACAGTACTTCATTGGCATGTTTAGGAATTTAAAAAACAAAACAACCAACCATAGTCAGTATTATACTGTCATAACACACTAATTACATTTGGCAATAAGAAGAAAGCAGTTATCTGAAAAGTGAATTCCAACCACCCTTAAGAGACTCATTCCAAAACACAAGACGTCTCACAGATACGTTATTAAACCTCCTTAAAACAAAACGATACGGCTGAGCCAAAAGCAGTGCTTTGTTTAGAATCATTCAGTCTGGACTATGTATTTCAAATGCCCGCATAAAACCTAGTTTCAGTGGTGGATGCTTTAAACAATGGTCAGGTCAGCCTTGCCTTTGTTCTGAAATGAGAACTACAGCAGATCAGTGCTGTGAAGATCTATGGGAATAAGAAGTGCAACCTTCTTTAGCTTTAGCCCAGGTGCCACTGTGTGTTCTTACCGTCTTCTGTGTCTGCCGCTCTGTGTCCTGCCACTACTGACTCCACCTTCCTGTTAGCAGCCGTCCCGCAAATGGAGGGATGATTGTGTCTTAAAAGTACATGGAAAACAGTGGTTTAGTCTGTGTGTTTGTGTATCACGGTACAAAGACCACCGACTAAAACTCTGGGAGAAAAATGTACTTAAAATTGATTTTTTTAAAAACCAACACAGGAGGTTTCAGTGACCAAGAATGTCAAATGGTTACTTGTATCATACCCACCCATAAATTACAATGATATATACAGTGGAACCTCAGTTTTTGATCATCACGGAAGTCAGAATGTTTCGGCTTTCAAACGCCAAAAACCCAGAAGTAACCTCCAGTTTTCAAACAATTTTCGGAAGCTGAACGTGCCTTGCGGCTTCCGTTTTGAGTTTCCCTATGGTATTGAGGCTTCCGTATTGAGTTCTTGAAAGTTTCGGAAGTCGGAACAGTCTTCTGGAATGGATTATGTTCAAAATTTGAGGTTCCACTATATATGTGTGTGTGTGTACAGGAAAGAGTTTTCCATTTCTGTTTAGATAAGGGGTTGGCAACGTGCGGCCCATGGGCCTGATGCGGCCCACGAGGACCATTTTACCGGCCCATAAACTGCCCCTGAACCAAGCCGCCCGCTCGATGAGTTCCCCACGTGCTGCGCTAAACCAGCGTGGCGTGGGGACTCGCCAAGTGGTGCCAGAAATTGCATCTGCGCATGCGCAGATACTGGAAATCGTGTCTGCACATGTCCAGATGCCGACAATCGCTTCTGCGCAGGCAGGATTTTCGGCGTCTAGGCATTTGCAGAAGCAATTTCTGGCGCCACGGACATGCGCAGATGCGCTATCCGGCGTCACGCTATGCCAGTCCGGCCCACGGGTGATCTCCGTGGGAGCGATCCAGCCCATGGCTGGTAAACCTTGCCGAACCCTGGTTTAGATCAACTATCTGTGCATCTTTCTATTAGTAATGTAATACCCTTACTAGGACTGAGCCGCCTTTGATGTTTCCCAGAAAGGTGCACCCGGCTAGATGTTAAACAGAAGACGGGGTTGAAGAGATGAAGATTGTTGGTAAAAAGCAGAACAGACACCCAACTGTCTTACAGTTACCTATTTCAAAATAATTATTTGCCTTAAGTAAGTTTGTGCCCAGTAGAGAGGATTTGAGTTGATATACCAAAGCTACCAGTTCCTCTTGGGGCAACAGGATGGTGTGGGGTAAGGCGGGAAAGGACATTTAGCCAGAATAAAAGTTATGTAAAACTCAAGATCGGGGTAGGCAACCTAAGGCCTGGGGGGTGGATGCGGCCCAATCACCTTCTAAATCCAGCCCACAGATGGCCCGGGAATCAGCGTGTTTTTACATGAGTAGAATGTGTGCTTTTATTTAAAAATGCATCTCTTGAGTTATTTGTGGGGCATAGGAATTCGTTCATTTTCTTTTTTCAAAATATAGTCTGGCCCACCACATGGTCTGAGGGATGGTAGACCGGCCCACGGCTGAAAAAGGTTGCTGACCCCTGCTCAGGATCTTACTACTTGAGTTGTTGATCTTACAGGTATCAATGCTACTGCCATTGGGCAAAATCATAGTAACAGTAGTAGTAGCAGCGATAATAGCTTCTGAAATGAAATGTGTTACAAATCTAGTATTTTTGCCAAACTACCATTTCCGGCCTAAGCATTATTGTGGACATAGCCATCAATGATGTCTAGCATAGTAAGATACTTCTTGCATGGTACAGAAAGTTGATTATCTCCAGGCAACATAATGCATTTTCATGAAAAATTAAAAGGGGTATTATCAGTCCAGTCCTCTTTATCAAGGTAGCTAAAATTCACAAACCTAGATATTTCCCTTCTATTTCCCATAGTTATTTATCCTTTTTACAATATTCAGTAAAGAACCGTAAATTAAATGACTAAAATTCTAAGTAAAAGATTATGTGACTTAAGAAAATGAATATAGTCATGGAAATCATGTGATTTCTCCTTCTAGCCTTTCCCCCAAATTTTGATGCAATATGTTCTGAAGTCCTCTTTTCCACATGTAAAATAGAGATAATTCTTCAATGCCTCACAGGAATACCATGAAAATAATCAGTTAACATTTCAGGGATTCAAACATGGAAAGTTATATAAACGTTAAGTATTATTAGCTATGCAGAATGGTTAGAGAACCTAAGTCTCTATTATTCTTTCAAACGATAGTAGGCACTTAATTGAAGAGTATAGAAATTTAAAATGTAATATGAAATTAATCTTTTCTAAGGTTATTTAAGCTAATGGCATAGTAATGGCAAACTAATTTTACAGTGATTAAGAGATAATATACTCGGGGCTTCTAGTGAGGCTTTTGTTGAGGTAACGTACCTATCTTTGATGAGACTGAAGATAGAAAAATACATTGTACAGTATGCATCTCTAAGGAGATTCTCTATTGTGGTTTGGGTTGGAAACCCGTAGAGTGGAGGCAGCCTACAGACAGCCAATGTGGTCCCTTTTAAACAAAGACCGATGAGTTTGTCTTGCACACTGTAGCTTTGATAGAAGTCTTCTTACTTGGCAGTTGAATTCTCATGCAACTGTATTCCTCAATACTCCTCAGGCTCCTTGGCATGGACTCAATACAAATGATTTTGAGAAGTCTTTTAATAGCACGCACAGTAGGAATTACTCTAAGAAATTATCATGTTGATAAATAGTCTATCTTTATTACATTGACATCTCTCTTCCGTGATGGAACTTGCAGCACACAGGGTTCCCAGGTAATCTGCTGTCCAGCCACTGACCAGAATTTAACCTGCTGCTTCTGCAGGGATGTTGCATTGTATACCTTCAGGCCATGTTCAAGGTCAAGGCCAACCTGGTAGGCTCCAGATGTTGTAGGACTATAACTCTCATCAGCTGCAGCCAGCACATTGTGAGAGTTATAGTCCAACAACATATGGGGAGCACTAGGTTGGTAAAGGGTCTTATAGCCAGAAACTGGCTCTTGGATGAAAACCAGTGCTTATTTTTCTGGCGGTACCCAATGATCCTTAATACCGGCACTTTCTTTTTCTTGGAGATGCTTGGCCGCATGAGGAGATATGGCATGGGCAGTGCCACTCCAGGGCCCGGCTGCCGCCACCCTCCAGGAGCTGTTTCTGGGCCCAATAACAGCTGCTGCTTCCTGTCAGCAGCAGCGTGGCTTGCCAGAGCGCATGAGTCCCGCTCCCTGTGGAGCGCAAGAGCAGGCAGCACAGTGTGTGATGTGCTTCCCCTGCAACGCACTGCACTCTGCTGTTGGCCATGTGCGGCTTGGTCGCCTCACTGGCAGCATTCACGAGGCAGGGTGGGCGCCGGAGCCGCCAAAGTCATCGGAGCCAGTGCGGCAAGAGTCCCAGGTAATATGAGAACGGGAGGGAGGGAGGCCATCTGGCTTTAAGGGACCCTAGTGGTCATCTAGTCCAATTCCCTGCAGTTTGGCCGGGGAAGTTGGTGCCATGGCCAGCGGCAAAACAAGCCCTCCTTGTGGGACCCCCTCCATTGTCTTTCCCAGTTTTGCTCTGGAATTCCTCTAACGCCAGCCTCTCTCTCTTTTTCAGACCTATGCTCAGTATAGCCACTTTGCAGAAGGCACGATGAGGCAGTTGTACATGTGATCCAAGTTAAATCAGTGCAGTCATTTTTCATAATGAGTACCTTAAGTAGTTACTTTGTGCCACTGAGTCAAAAAAGGAAGGCTGAAGAAGCAGCAGAAATTGTTGAATCAACTTCTGATCCTTTCAAACATTGCAAAACTAACACCGAAGATACATGTGGTCAAGAGGATGGAAGTTCAGGCAAAGATTGGCCCGAATGTTGGACACTATTGCAGAAAAATGACTTCTGTCAGAGAAATGAGTGGCTCTTTGTCAACAATAAAAGGTTGGGCTGCAAAGTGTGCCGAGATGTCGGAAGCCTTCCTGTCGAAAAACGGATGGGAATGAAAATTTCAGTAGAGTGGGCCAATTGTAAAATTAGTCATTTTGGAGAGTCTCGAAAACAACAGTTAATGTCTTTAAGAAAAAAGATTTTCGAACACAAGGAAAGTGGAGCTCACAAAGCAGCAGAAAGGATAAAATCTGAGTCTAAAAATGAAAAGTTAGATAAAGTCATCTTAAACACAACAAAAGTGTTTCGAACCGCTTACAAAGTTGCAAAGAAAAATCAAGCATTTAACAACTTTGAAGATGAAATAAATTTACAGGAACTTAATGGCCTAGACATGGGATATACCTTTCACTCTACAAATGCCTGCATTAATATTTTAAACCATATTGCAGATGAAATGAGAAAAACATTAATAAGCAACATAGTGAACTCTAAGAACAAAATGTCCTTAATTATTGATGAATCGACAACAGTGAATAACAAAATAACTTTGATTGTTAGTATTCGCGTAGTTCTTCCCAAACATTCAACTCCAGTAAGTCTTTTCCTAGATTTGATTGAGTTACAAGATACAACAGCAAGAGGAATTTTAAGCTCATTAATCTGTCATCTTGAGTCCCTAGGAATCTCAGAAGATTATTTAAAGGAGTATTTATTGTCTGTCACTTGTGATGGTGCTGCAGTGTTGTTTGGCGCACATGGTGGTGTAAAAAGGTTAATAAAAGAAAAATTTCCGAGTGTTATCTTCTGGCGTTGTGCTAACCATCGTCTGGAATTGTCTGTCAGTGATACAGTCAACAAAGTGGTTGGAGTTAATCACTTTAAGAATTTTATGGACAAACTCTATGTGACTTACCACGCTTCACCCGAGAATGCTAGGGAATTGGAGGAATGTGCAGCAACTCTAGAACTTCAGCTTCTGAAAATTGGAAGAATTTTAAGCACTCGCTGGGTTGCTTCTAGCTTTTGCACAGTTTTCGCAGTTTGGCAAGATTATGAAGCACTGGTTTATCACTTTCAGGAGGCAAAAGAAGACAGGAGAAGAAGCAAAACAGATCGCTGTCTTTATGAGGGTCTTTTACGGACAATAACATCATGTGAATTTGTTCTTGATTTGGGTCTTATGTGTGATGCTCTCCAAGTTCTCAGTGAACTAAGCTTGGATTTACAAGAGCGAAATATTGATTTGTTTACAGCAGACAGGAAGATAAAGAACACAGTTCAACTTTTTGAAGAACGAATTGAAAATCCTGGTCCATACTATAATATTGCTCTTCAAAGTCAGAAGACTATGAAGTTCAAAGGGAGTGAGCTCCACAAAAATGAAAAACTTACCCCTACAATAAGTTCACCTGCTTTCTATGAAAGTCTGAAAGAAACTGTTAGAAAGTGTATACTTGAAGGAGATGATGCTGATTTGCCTGAATGTGCCAAGGTCTTAGATTCCAAATATTGGCCAGAAAATCCTGGAAAGCAGTTAACCTTTGGTGAAACTGAAATTAGAAAACTAGCACAAAAGTTTTGCTTAAATGAAAAGGAAACAATTCTTGGCTTCCATGAATATCTTGAAGAAAATGAAGTCCCGGACAAATTACTTCCTCTAATGCACGCTTTAAGCACAATTGCAGTATCTTCGACTGAATGTGAAAGAGGATTATCTCAGATGAATCTTACAGTAACTTCATCAAGATCATCTCTGGTTATTCGGACAGTTTCTTCTCTGATGTTCATCAGGATGGTAGGACCACCTCTTACTCAATTCAATCCTACAAAATATGTTGAATCATGGCTGCTACAAGGACATCATCATGCAGTTGATACAAAAAGCAGGAAGCGATCTAGAGAAGATGAGGGTACATCGGAGGATGTACCAAAAGTGTGGCACTTACTCTAGCAACTTCATGGTGAGTACCGGCATCATTTTTTTCTCCAAAAAAGAAAAGAAAAAAAGCACTGATGAAAACCATCAGTGCAAGTGATTTTCTGGGCCTGCTTTTGTTCTAGTTCGGTGACATGATTTAGTTCAATTTCATCACCTGTAACAATTCATACATTTTACAACTTATTCCACAAAATGCACTTCTGCTGGAAAATTGACACTTCAGATTTCCTCTCCCTCTTTTTATTTAGGTCCTGTTTGCCTTTCTGTCATCAGAAACAGTAGCAATGTTCATTACAGAGGTGGGTCCTGCTTGGAAATGTTTTAGAGTTACGCTCCATATACTAAATTTATGATAACCTGTTTTTTTTAAAAAGCTTTCAAAATGAAGTCTTCAACTAATGCCAGTAGAGTTGACACAGGAATAGGTCACGATGGAAACCAGGGATGTGAAACCTGTGGACCTCCTGAGTTGGTGGACTCCGATTTCTGAGTCGTAGCCAGCTTGGCTGAAGTCTTCCAGCATTTGGAGGGCCAGAGGTTCTCTATCCCTGTGTAACTGTGCTCCTTAGGAAGAAAGGAAGCTAGCTTATATTGTCATATCAGTGGTCCATCTAACTTACCATTGCCTACACTGACTGGCAACCTTCCAGGGTTTTTGGCAGGGAACATTCCCAGCGCTACCTGGAGATGTTGGGGAATTGAAGCTGTGACCTTCTGCATGCAAAGCATATGCTCTATCACTACAGCCCTTTCCCTTACCCCTCCAAGCACTGTGCCCAGACCCCACAAAATGTTTCAGCAAGACAGTGTAACCCACAAGAGATGTGGTATTGATTGGCAACTGGAGATGCATTTTACACTGTGATGAGTGCCTAACAGATTATCAGCATGCCTCACTGATGTAAATGGCCTTGGGAACTAAGGCACTTGGATAATAAGACGTTTGAATCAATTGGAATATTACTTACTGAGAGGTTCACTAATAAGCTGCTGCATTCACAGCCAACACAATTAAGGGATTTCAGTAGTCAAACTTCTTACAATAGGAGTTTTAGCCCATTATTTTCCTTTTCTGCCTAAGCTTTGGATCCTGAAGATATGCAAGGCCAGCATACATTAAGCAACAGAATGTGTGTGACCTTCCATTATGAAAATGCTGTTTGTTTTCTGCTAATTATGCTTAAAAAATGAGATAGAGTGGGAGTGAGATGGCAGTGACATTGGATTGGCATAAATTAGTTTATTACAGTAGAATAGTGGGCGAAGGGGGGAATGACACCCTAGAGATTACTTGAACTCATACATTTCTGCTGCCAAAGTTTACAGGCCTGTAAATTTAAATGTAGAATTTTTGTAGGCAGAATGCATTGACAAATATGCCTAATGGTAATACATCTAGTTCTGAGCCTCAGAACAGGTCAATAATAATGCTTATATTGATAGCAGCAATGTAGGAGATGTTATTTGGTATTAAAGCTAAAATCCATGTTATCCCCTTAATCATAATTACATTAATATTGACAGGCCCTTGACAATACCCACTTTACTATTGATAGATTTCTGTCAATAATGCATTTCTAAATAAAATATATTCATTCATAATTTGTACAATACTCAGTAAGCAATGCTAAAGTATATCAGGAGAAATACCTATTTTATTGGTGATATACAGCAAATTGTTTTCTTACAGTGCATGTTTTGCAAGAGGGATTCCTGAATTTAGTTAAATAAAAATGAGCAATGTATTACGTTATTTAGAAGAGCTGTTGGACAGAAACATGACATGCGGTTTACTTTTGGAAAGGAAAGCCTTGTGACATTACAAGGAAAAGCTGGTCAGAAACATCTCAAATACATTTAAAACCTGGACCACGTCATCTTTAAAATATTATTTTAAAGTATATACACTGATATTTGGCAATATTTCTCCCCCCTCAAGAATTCTTTTTTTCTTTGCTTGATCACACTCTTCACAGAGCATTGTTACTGATAATATTTTTAAAGGTTTCCATTTGGAGCCTTATAGTTATCAGTGATTTGACTAAGACAGTGGAAAGGAGTTTCTAGAGGCTTTGTACTTTCATAGTATATCTCTCAGCTTCATAGGGCAAAATATAATTAAAATTGGTGTGGTGCTGTTTGTAAGAGTGTGAGTTGTGGGTCAGGAAGTTGCTGATTCAGATCTCATCTCTGCCACAAACTCTCTGGGACTAGCTGACCTTAAGCAAGCCTCTCTATTATCTTAGCCTCAAGCCCATGGCAGTGGAGGAGATATACTGACTGTATCTAACTTTTCGCTATCTCCTCTTTAAGCCCTGAGATGTTCTAGGACAATGAGTTTCTAAACTTGCTTCATCCAGGAATGTACATTCCTGCCAAGGAATGTATTACAGGGCAGATTTGGGGGGAGGTTCCAAGTCTTACGCTCCGTTCTTTGGAGTGCCAGCCAATTTGTTTATCTTATTTAAAGCATGTTTATGCCACTTTTCATCCAAAAAGCTTCCAAGACAGTTAAAAAAAAAATACAATTACCGGTACATAAGTGTTGTGGGTTTTTTTTAAGGCCACTAAAACTCTTCAGCTTATTAAAAGGTCTAATGATGGTTGACCAACTGATTTTAAGAGAAATTTGTCTATCGTGACTGATCTTGTCTGGGAGGATGCCTGGAACACAGACAACCCCCTTTCTAGAAGCATTTTGAACAGAATTCAGTACAGTAGGCCTGCAACATAGGTGGGGGTTACATTCTAGGGATCGCACCTAAAGCCAACATTGTGTATAGATTGGAACCTCTACTCACAACCAAAATCCGTTCTAGAGGACCATTCTTATGGTGAAATGGGTCTCTGGGAGAGGCACCATTGTGCGCAGGCGTGGGTAGCGATTGCCTGCTTTTGCGCAGGCACGAACGGCGATTGCCACTTCTGCACAGGCGCAAACCCGCCTGTTACTTCCGGGTTTGCTGTGTTCGCAACTTGGAACATCTGCAAGTGGAGGCAGTTGTAAGTAGAGATTCTACTGTAGTCGCAACTCATTGGGTTCAATGGCAGGTAGGATTGCCACAATTGTTTTTCCTAGAACTCCACTCCTTTTCTGCACCCTTCTTTTAAGAAAATTGCCATGCGCGTGAAGATGAATGCACACAAGTTGTGGGCTTATTGTATATAGTCTCTGTATACTTCACAGTAGCAACTCACTTAAAGATTATATAAATAATTTTGATAAGCAGAACCAGGGAGGTATGTCTGTATAGACAAAATGTTTCCGTCATGCCTCCTCTAGGAAATCTTAGAATTGAGTTATGGGTTGCTTTTTTCCCTCTGGTCACATTCCCGTTTTACTATATTTCCCCTCCCTCTTTAAAACCTATTTTATTACATAATCTTTACTTTGAGAGGCTGCACAGAATCTCCATTGTATTATGGAAAATTAGCCACACCTAGAAAACTATAGCATATTTATAGCAAAAGCAATTGTGTAACCATAAGGCATGTTAGTGTTAGAAATATGCAATGTGTTGTTTGAATTAGGGATGTAGATACGTTACAACTTTCACATCTGTATACCGTTTTTAATAATCTGCAGCCTTATCACATATATTGGCGGCCATTGTGTCATGGGCGTCGGCAGAAATAAACATGGAGGCGCAAGGTCTATGATTTGTAACTACAAATTGTTGAATGGAATATTATCAATCTTCATATGACTGAACCCCACACATCATTATATGGTGCTGAAGAGAAGCAACAAGAAACCGTGGTGGTGTACTGTATTGTTTGGGATTACACATTTCAAAACTAACTGCTAACAAATTGCTTTATTTGTCCATTTAACAATAACAGAGTTAAGGCAGGAGAAAGACACACAGCTTCAAATTTTCCTTGAACAACAATACTGTAGGATTCTAAACCAAATTAAAAACCTCTAAGGCTGAATTTCACACCTTTTACACAGAATCTGCCTTGGGTGTAGTGAACAACAGACATAAGGTCTGAAACTAGTCAGAATTTTTATTTTATTTTTTTGTTAATGCTTGCCTGTCTATAACATAAAGGAAAATATAATACAAAGTGGATCATCGTTCAAACAAAAACTGGAGCCTCTGAGAGTCTTGGCCAAAACAATCAATCATTTCTTTTATAAATTTCTCCTTGGGATAGGTCTTCAACTTTTCTCCATGGTCACTCCACAAACACAAGCCAGACGATCGATCTTCACTCATTGTGGTACATCGCCATTTCTTCACCCTGCACAGAGTGCTAAAGGATCAGTCATAACTGCATGTTATAACTGGAAGGGAAAGTGCTGTATGGATGGCCATTAAAATAGCAAGGAATTGTTTAGTATGGTTCAGTAGTTTAAAGACTTGTGTTGCATATTTCACACAATGATTCATCCCCAACAGTTTCAGTTTGTAAAGATCCTGAAGGAAACTGACATGAGTTTTAAAGTATTTCCCCGCCCCCCCAAATGCTGTATGTATGACCTGCGATCATAGTCATTTTAGCAAACTCTAGGTAGGTTAGTTCATGGTTATTGGTGAAGCTCATCATGATGGGTTATGCAGTGCAACCTAGTGACAGAAAAGTGTCCCAGTATCTCAGGTAATAAGCGAATCCAGGTAGGAAATATAGATGGACCAACGGTAGAACTCTTCTGTGGATTGGTTGGGTTGATCGGCACAGTTTTGCTGTTGTGTTGCTTCTCTAGGTGTTTTAAGTTTTACATCAACTTCATCTGCAAGTTTCTTGCACTTCTCTATTGTTGTGCTAAAGGTCCCTTGTGTTTCCAGCAATGCTTGTATATATGCTTTCATTCCAATACATCTATCTTTATAGAGCTCGGGGAATGTATGAAAGAATAAATGAAAGAATGTTTGTTTATGATCACAAGACTGAAAATAAAAGTCTGTGTTTGTGATCCACACAGCAACTGGAATGAAGTTGTCTTGATGTTACATGATGTTGTGAGTTGCTGGACCATACTTGTGTAAGTTTCTGCAGATACACTCTTGAATTTTGGAGTCCATCATGCTTCACACAACATTGGTATGTTGGGCATTAGATTTTGTCTTTGGATGCTCTCACAGAAAAAAGGTTGGCTTCAATTGTGCGTGCTGTATTACACACATAACACTGTTTAGATCATTTACAGTGAGATGGACTCTATGGGATGTTCAGTGGACAAGGGTTGCCTAAGGATAACTCGCCCTGCTTGAGCTCCACCTTCTTTTCCTGCCCTTGTATCCTTCTCCAAGTAATTTATAGCAATGTAGTGCAAAATCAAAACAAGCAGATAAAATTGTGTTGGCTATGCCTCCTGATCTGAGATTGAAGTGAACCCAGGGAATTCCTCATGAATAGATTCATTGTTTTCCCATTGTCAGATTTTAGATTGTAACCTCCTCAAGGCAGGGACTTCCTCTCTTGTACTTAACGTGCTGTGCATAGTGATGGTGCTCTGTGAATAATTGGAGCAGAAAATTTAATCATACCAGTTCAAACATTTATATAAGTTAAGCACACTGATCTGCCACATGTGGACCTAGCACCATTTCTGGGAGAAGTCTTGAATCTCTGAGGCATCTTCACATTTCATAAAAGCAATTGACTGGTTCAGTTCCATTTAAGACCATGAGGGAATTAATGAGACTGATTGCCAACTGACAGCAGGAAGTTGTGCTTGTATAGAATGGAAAAACAGGAGGCAACTGCCTAAAATGTACAGCCTCTAGTCCAGGCATCCCCAAACTCAGCCCCCCAGGTGTTTTGGGGCTACAACTCCCATCATCCCTAGCTAACAGGACCAGTGGTCAGGGATGATGGTAATTGTAGCCCCAAAACATCTGGTGGGCCGAGTTTGGTGACGCCTGCTCTAGACAGTGCTGAAAGCCTGAGACCAAGGTATTGCAAGGTCACCAGCTGCCCATCACCAGATGAAAAATAAATACACCACCTCAACTGACACAGGCTTGAACCATCATGAAATCAGTAGAGTGCAGAACTCTGTCCAGATTTCAAAGAATCTATTCCAGTGTTTAGCACAATACTACCTAGCAATTCTTCTGCCATAGATCCCTTGGTCCTCAATGTATGTTGCAGAAAACCCTGGGATTCCCAACAGCTCCAGCAAGCATTCCTCCATCTCACTTGCAAAAGGACATTCCCTTCATGACCCCATTGTCCCTGTCAGTGCTGCAGGGGATCTTGGAGCGTGTACACAGGTCATGCTGGCTGATGGTGGCATCCAGCAGATCTGGCCAGTGCTCTGCATGCTCCCTGCAAAAAAACACAAGCAACACCTGATGCTTGCAAGGAAGCAGCTTTCGTCTGAATGTTGGTTTTAGTTTAAAGGAAGCTAAAGTTCTCTATTTAAGTACCTAAAGTTTGTCACAGTCTCTGCTACACTGTTATGTATATTAATTTGATACGCTTACCCTTCTCTCATGCATGCTTTTCATTCCTATTCTTCCATATCATTTTGTATGGTAAGTGCTTATGTGGCAACGATTTCTTCATTATTTTACCCATATGTCTACTTAATATACCTAACTTCCACATTTAAGGCATGTTAACTATTTTAACTGCAATACAATTCCTCCCTTTAGAATTTCCTCTTAATTTTTTCATATTTGATAATAACTTCAGCCATAGGAAGTGCTGTGATTTTCTTAGGGAACACTTGCATCTATGAAATAGCCTTTTAAAAAGAGAGAGAGTTTTGAATAATCTTTTGCCTTTTTCCTAAAACCAAATACTTATCTTTCTGGGGAAGAGTGGAGAGTTGAGAGAAAAATATTTAAAAATAAAAAAGTTAATTGGTGTTTTTGTGTTCAGCCTATTGCACCATGCTTCGCATTTAATTATAAATTTAATTGTTGATTGCACATTCTAAGCTTCAGTTGAAAGATTAATACCAACCATATAGGGTGAAAATTATATGAGCATTACTGTCGCTGAATATGTATATACAGTGTTTGTTCTTGGAGAACTAATAGGAGAGGGTAGCAAACACAGGTTTCAAACCCCTGCTGGCCATTGAATGACCTTGGGGTAAGTTGCACTTTCCCAGCTTTGAATTCTTGGGTGATCTAGCTCACAAAGTTGTTATTAACATGAAATACTTCCTCTAAAGCCTAATAAATTGTAATTTAAATTAATATGATGATGATGATCATAATAATATATATTTTTAAATCTCTTCTTTTATCATAGAAAGCCACATGTTGACAATGGCATCTGGCGATGGCAATCGCAAGGAAGTGACTCCTGTGCTCAGAATAAGTCAGCTTGATGCCCTCGAACTGAACAAAGCATTGGAACAGCTGGTTTGGTCCCAGTTTACTCGCTGTTTTCAGGGATTTAAACCCGGACTGTTGGCTCGCTTTGAACCAGAGCTTAAAGCTTCCTTGTGGCTTTTTTTGTGGAGATTCACTGTCTACTCCAAGAATGCAACCGTGGGGCAAGCTATTCTGAACATTCAGTACAAGAACGACTTATCCCAGATGCAGAAATACCAGGCGTTGAGCAAACAACAGAAATATTGGTACCTTATTTGCACCGTCGGTGGGAAATGGCTGGAAGAAAGGTGTTATGGTTTATTTAGCAATCGTCCATTGGAGTCATTCCGGAAGACAAAGTACTTTATTAACATGGTGTTTGGGCTCATCAGGTTTTGTGAATTGCTGAACTTCCTCGCTTTTCTTCAGAAGGGAAAGTTTGCTACACTCACTGAACGTATTTTACAAATCAGGTCAGTGTTCTGCCAGCCACAGAGTGTCCGTCAGATTGGATTTGAATACACAAACAGGGAACTCTTGTGGCATGGGTTTGCTGAATTTCTTATTTTTCTTTTACCACTTATTAACATGCAAAAGCTCAAACTCAAAGTCTCTTCTTGGTCACTACCTATTTCAGGGGGTACCAGAAATGAAAATAATTCAGCAACATGTTGCAAGGAATGTTCTCTGTGTGGAGAGTGGCCCACTCTGCCTCACACCATTGGCTGTTCACATGTTTTTTGTTACTATTGTATTAAAAGCAACTACTTATTTGATTTGTATTTTACTTGTCCTAAATGTGGCACTGAGGTGCAAGATCTGCAGCCATTAAAGTATAAGTTAGAAATGAAAGAGGTAGATACACATTAAGCTTGTTTAGGCTTTCCTCAAATCCATAATTATGTATAACTTGTGGATTCTATGGGACTATTCTATCCTGATAGTTAAATTTAGCCTACAGTAATTTTAACCTTTCTGTAATACTGGAATTCTCTTATTCTGTGCTACTTCGTAGGTTTTGTTACTTAACTGTAAAATGATCAACAGCTATAAAAAGATTGTGATTTTCAAAGAATTGCAAACTCAATAGAACTGTAAATAAAGAACAAAATAGTGATTAAACTCTGTCCATTTTATTTATATCATCATAAGTCTGCATTCAAATAAAACCTTTTTTTAAGGTAACTGAATCAGTTGATAGAGCATGAGCCTCTTAATCTCAGGGTCATTGGTTGAAGCCCCACACTGGACAAAAGATTCCTGCATTGCAGGGGGTTGGACTAGATGACCCTTGTGGTCCCTCCAGCTCTGCAATTCTGTGATACATAAGTTAAGGTTACCAGACGTCCTCATTTCCCGGGGACAGTCCCTGGATTTACAAATCAGTCCCCACACAAAATCCATTGAAGTTGAAAAGTGTCCCCGGATTCATTGGAAAAAACCTGGTAACCTTAACATAAGTACAGCCACATGTAATAGGTTACATGTAATATAACCACATGGGTGCCAAGAAAAGGAGAGAAGAGATGGCATCCTTAAAAGCTGCCACAAACTGTGTGGGAAGCTATTTTACACTATTGTTTCTCAAGTAATGCTGGACCCATTCAGTTTTATATACAGTTCAACCACACTGGGTTGTATTCTGTGGATGGTATGGGAGTAGACTAATAAAAGTAATAATAATAAAAAAGACGTAACAGTTTTATTGATTTCAGTGAGTCTACTCTGAGTATGATTTAATTGCATAGACAAAACTGCACCTGCAAATTATTATTATTATTTTATTTATATACCACTCTATACCCGGGGGTCTCAGGACGGTTCACAAAATAAAATCATGCCTGCAAGCACTCCAATTGGAGAACAGCCTTTACCAAAGGTGTCATGGGCTTTGAAGACACTCGAACTCCGGATGCAAGGGAGAAACATGCTGAGAGGAAGGCATGCTTGGCAAATCTACACCATGACCAACTCCCACCCAGAAACCAATGTCCCCACTGTGGAAGGATGTGTGGATCCAGAATTGGCCTCCACAGTCACTTAAGGACTCATTGTTAAAACTGTGTTTATGGAAGACAATCTTACTCAGCTACGAGTGATTGCAGAAGAAGAAGAAGAAGAAGAGACCACAAAATACCTAATAAAAATAAAAAACAACCCAATAGCCCCCCCCCAAAAAAAAACATTTTTAAAGGGCATAGGATGTAACTTGAATCAACCAAATTAGACTTGACTTGCAAATACTTGAGGGCCAAGCCACAAACCTTATTGTGGTTGCATCCACCCAGTGCTGTTATGCCTCCAATAGGTTCAGAGGCTTTACTGAACTTTCCGAGAGCTCCTTGGAACACCCAAGCTGTGGTTTGCCTGCCAATTGTCGCATCTGGGCTTGATGAGGCAGGTGACCCTCACCTGTTCCCAGCTTCCTCCAGCTGAGGAATCAGTTCCTCCAGCTAACAAGCCCCACCTGGCCGACTAATGAGCTGGGCTGTGGGCTCTCACCTGCCTCAGCCTCCTAGAACATTCCTCCCACTGCTCCTTAGGCCTCAGCCCTCTGTATTTGGGGAGAGAGAGCACCCTCTGACTGGTCATGGGCCCTACTGCTCTGGTCCTGCACGCTGACCACCATTCTTCATCACCCCGTGAGTACTTTCTATACCAACCTCTCCTCCTCCACCCCCAGCTTGCTGTGTGTCCCAGTAACAGCAACACCCCACACTGGATTCCTCTTCCTCCTTCCTGTTCATGACATGGGCATCTGGTATTGTCCCATCTCCAAAAAGGGCTGGGAGTGTCAGAGCTGATGCCAGGCAGTAATGCTAGATATGCCCTGAGCTAGATGCGCCAATGGCTTGGCTCCGTAGAAGGCAGCTCCCTGCGTTCCTTTGTACCAGGCCAATCCCGCAAAGTGACACTTGCCATATTTCTGAAGAGAGTGGCTAACTGCCGGCCACTCGGTTGATACTTGTGCACTGGAGCAGAAAGGCTAGGAAGTGGATATATTGCTCCTGGCTCTTTCCCTCACTGTTATCGCCGATGTGGTTTTCTGTGTGGGGGTGGGGGAACCAAGTAAAAGCATAATTCCAAAGTGCAAGAAGAAAAAGGAGTATTAGAAAGATAACTATCGCCTCAGAACTCTGCACTTGTACACACGCCTCGCAACTGAAGCCAAGCTAATTTCCCCCAAAGCAATTGCCAAATGAGGGCTAGAGTTACAGTTTGCATGCTGACAGGAATCCATGGGGGGTTGATATTAAGCACACTGAGGGTAATTAAGTTGTTGTAATCATTAGTTTAGCAGTCAGTTTGGCACAGGGCTACGGTCTCCCCACCTTAGCCACAAGCAAGAACATCAGCTAATTTCCGCTCCTATTTAAAAGTTGTTCCGTTGTCTTCAGAGGGAATGCAGTTGTTTTAACTCTTAAAAGAGTTCTGATACTGCGAGGCAATTTCTTAGCTACGAGGAGGAAATATTTGTAGATTTCAGCTAACATGGTCAGCCTGTAGCCATGCCTATTCTACAGCCAAGCCCCATTGACTTCAGTGGAGGTTATGGGTAAGAGCGTCTCCTATGCACCAATGTATGTGGTTCCGGACTTTGAAGAAGTCCATGTGAACTTTGGGAAATAGGATGGGGGAGGAGTCTGTCTCCAATTTGTATTCCTGGGACTGCAGGAAGCTTTTGGACCTTTTGATTTGTTTCTTTGAAGACTCGCTGAGAAATGTAATTTTATCCTTGAGAAATGCTTTCGCTTCCCCCTCCCCCCATCTCCTTTTCCAGGAGGAGAAAAAAGAAAACATTCTGGAACTCAAAATAGGAATGCAGATGTGTTTTCTGCTTTGAACTGGAACTGCTACGCCTGCCCCCTTTCATGCCATCCCCCCCCTCCGCCCCACTTAACTGGATGGATGAAAAATTTTAATGTCATTATAAGAGTAATGGGTCTGTTTGGGTGTTTGGTAGCAGATAGTATTCTACTTGTGATTGTCTTTGCAGTAATTCATTGCTTTGAATTTGGAATTCTATTATTTTACATCTCTGGCGGTTTAAAGTGGTTTTTTTTCTTTTTTCTTTTTTTTTAATAAACACCAAACTTCACCTCATAAAAATTCATTACATAAGGGCATAAACAAGTATTTTTCCTTCCAGTCATTGGCAGTAAGTGATTCATCAGTTTTCCACAGAAAACCAATTTCATTGCAGATGTTCTGTAATTTCCACTCTTCTTGAGTTGTAGAATCATATCAACCAATCCCAATGTAGGCTATATAGAGTGTTTGAAGGAGTGTGTGTGTGTGTGTGTGTGTGTGTGTGTGTGTGTACGCTTAATCTTTTTAATAGGATTGACTATCATTTGCTGTCTCATCAGTTTTTCAAAATAACCATAAAGTAATCAGTTTGCCATTCTTTCCTTTGGGATACAGGCTATCATTTTCCTCTGTGCTCTGCCCTGTTGAAAGAGTGCAGTTAATAACTGGCAGAAAAGCAAAGGAATTGGGGTCCACACACTGTGCTTAAAACATCCTTCTGAATGAATCTCTCCTCCACCTTTTTCCTCGACAGAAGGGGCAGGGGGCAACCTTCTGGGCACCCTTCCCTGCCCCCTGCACTGGGCAGCTCGAGGCCCGCTTGCCGTGTGGGCTTCCTCAGCAATCTCGCAACTGGTGGGCAGGAGGGAGAAAGGTGCCATGTAGCTTTGTGCGCTGCCGCAGCTGCCTCCTCTCCCAGGCAGGAAGCGAGAGAGTGCGGCTGTCCGTAGGAAGAGCCACCGCCACCACCCAGCATGCCCTTGCAGCTGTTCCCGGTTGGTCCAGGACTCCCACTGCTGGGTGCCCCCTGTTGGGCGGGCACCGTGGCACAGGGCACCACTAACCCTAATGGGTAAGACGGCCCTGTCTCCACATGATTTGGACAACAGCTTTTGCCAGCCCAAGCCAGCCTGGGGACAAAGGTTCTGTGTCCACATCTGACTCCCGCCCCAGAAAGTGATTTAATTGTGCAGTGGGCAAAACACAACCAGTTGATATTAATCTGGATGCTTTTATACCACAGCCTAAGGGACTTTTGCCAAGATTTGCACATGCAACCCTTTTTCTAGAGTGTGAAATTGTACAGGGATAGTGTCGTGAGTGTCTTGGGTAGTAGGCAGCAAAGTGAAAGGACCTTCACCTATGCAACAGAACTTCTTCTCTTACACCCAAGGACCTGCCCCCATGCCCTCCACAAGTCTGCTCCAGAGGATTGGGGGGAATCCCAGAACAGGTTTTGAGGGGTGCAGGGAGGGGCATGCAGGGAGAGGAAAGGCAGTTGAAGTTTCACTGTGTGGGTGGAAGTCCTTATGCTCAGTCGGTAAAGCATGAGACTCTTAAATTCAAGCCCCACGTTGGGCAAAAGATTCTGCATTGCAGGAGGTTGGACTAAATGCCTCTTGTGGTCCTTTCCAACTAAAATTTCCAATTTTCTTTCCAATTGCTCTTGTGGTCCTTTCCAATTAAAATTCTATGATTCTATGACTTAGTTGGATACAACCCACTGATTTTCATGTATACCAGTTCATTCCCCATCATGTATACAGCCATTCCCCATTGTTGCCAAACTAGGAATCTTCTATGTATGATGAAGGGCTGGACCAGATACATACTTCCCTGCATGAAATAGATACAGTCGTACCTTGGAAGTCGAACGGAATCCATTCCGGAAGTCCATTCGACTTCCAAAACGTTCGGAAACCAAAGTGTGGATTCTGATTGGTTGCAGGAAGCTCCTGCAGCCAATCGGAAGCCCTGTCAGGAGTTCGGCTTCCAAAAATAGTTCACAAACCGGTACAGTTGCTTCCAGGTTTGCGGTGTTCGGGAGCCAAAACGTTCAG